AATGCCCAAAATCAAGTAAATAGGATGTTAGTCATTATAACAAGAAAATAAATCTGCATTGGTGAATTGCTATGTGAAAAGTTTGTTTTCCAGCTAGTGATTAGGCAAAGAGACAACAAATTTTAGCATTTCAGAATAATCCATTAGGAAATATGATTGATGCTAGACGTTTACCAGTATTAAAATTAGTAACTTCAGCTCTTGCAAGTATTTCTCCTTATACTGGTTAAGAACCTTCAGATAAATATATTGATATAGTCATTCAATCATAGGCATTTGCTGAAAGGCATATAACAGCTCTTGAAAATGCAAATGCTGGAGATTTTGATAATGCAGTCAAGTATACCTTATTAAAATCTAAGAAGGGTGGAAAATATACTCCAGTACCTGCAAATAATAGACTAGTAGCAGGAAATCTAGCTATAAATATTCCAGATATATTATGGGCTTAGTTAAGAGTAAAATATCAGCGAGAATGACATTCTAGATACTTATGAGACTAGAATTCGTTCTCTTCTACTAGATGTGGTAGATAATAGTGCGCAGGTTTTAGGATTTCTTAAAAGTCAATTATCAGGTGATCTTTACACTTAGATGAGAATTGCAAATCTAGCGGGTATTGATGCATTTTTTATTGAATTAAAAAATTGTGATTGGAGCGTCCTCCTAATTTAAATGGGATACAAACTTCTCAGAATAATTTATCAGCTGAGATTGAAAAGTTAAATTCTCAAATAGTTTTTCTATGCAACTAACACAACTGGCTCAAGTGTACCCCTAGAATAATGAAGCCTTCGCTAATTTTGAAAAATTAAACTTCAAAATAGCTTCTTTGAAAGCACAGTTAGCGAAATCAATTCAGGTGCATTCTAGACTTGCCTAACGTTTACACCTACCAGAAAATGTAATTAATTCGAATAATACTCTGATCTATGATAAATATATTAATGAGAAGTTGGAAAGAAGATTAGGAGTAATTGAAACTCATTTAGCTGAACTTTTAAGAAAAGATACTGTAAATACTAATTCAACTCTAAATGATTATAGTAATAGAGGATTAGAAAAAAGATTAGGATAAATTGAAGCTCACTTAACCAAACTTGCTAAAAAAGATATTAGAGATGCTAAAACATTTCAGCGTCGATATTCAGAACCCTCACCTTTTAAAGGATTTGAAAAAATATTAGAATAAATCGAAGTCCTATTAGCTAAACTTGTTAGGAGTTCCAAATCTAAGAGTGGGCGAGTTTATATGGTTACAGCAGACAAACAGTCTTCTGCTGATTTTTTTGACAATAACACCACCTCTCTGTCAAAGTCTGAAAATAATGATGATGACTCTGATAATTCTTCGACTGAATCAAACTCTGAAAAATGTGATACAAATATTTATATAACTTATGGAAAAAAAAGTGAACTACGCTGAGCAGAGTGGTCGTTCTGATAAGTTCTCAAGCTTTAAAATTAATAATAGATCCAAGACTTACAAAGTAAAGCAGGATAATAACTCACCATCTACTTATAATGTCTCATCAGAGAAAGGTACTAGGCAGGTGTCTTTAGAAGAAACTATTCGCAAAATAATTCAGAGTGAATTTGTAAATTATCTCTCATACATAATTCAGCAAGCTAAAAAATGTGAACCTGTCTCAGCTCAAGATTCAAATGAAAAGGATATTTTGGATAGTCCTATGGAAATAGATTTCATTCAGAAAAAGAAGTCTTCTACAAGCATTGCAACTGTAAAATGCAAGATTAAGCGTCTTAAAATTTCAGCTATAGCATTGGACTCTTACGCTAAACTTCCTATTGTAACATCTGATATTGTTAAGCATGTAGAGTATGGAATCGATAAATCTATAAAACATGATCTTAGCAGTATTGCTACTCTTCTGATTGAGTCTGTTAGGATTGTTCATGATTTACCAATAATCTTAGCTCTGGGTTATATCATTTACGAAGATTTTATAATTGTGAAATACTCTAAACTAATGCTAATATTTTCTAATTCTCTTCTCAAGAAATACAGATACGCAATTGATTGGAATAAAAATGAGTTAAAGCTCTACCATAATGGAAAGAATTTTACTATTCTGGTCATTATGTATAAGGTCAAGAACAAGCTCAAGGTGAATTGTGTGAACATTACTTCTGAATGTGATGATCTTATGATTTTAGATAAAATTTTACAGGATTCGCAGAACTTAAATAAAAATGATAATGTATTAAAAAAAATGCATAAACTATGAGAATATAGTAATTCGTATAAAAGAACTTGAGAAAAAGCTTTTTAATGCTCTCAAATTCAATGCGAAAATCAATGAGTTTTGCGAAAGTCTTCTTAGGAAATAAGCAAGTTATTTTTAGAATAACGCTATTTTTTACATCTATAATTTTGTACTTTTTTTGACCATCTTCTCATAGGATGCATCCAAATTTACATTGTTTGTATTCTTTTTTAAAGCCTGAATTAGCTGAGTCTGAATACTAGATGGTTCAGAAATCTGAACGGACTTCAATTCCTTTCCTTCAGTCTTTTTCGTCTTATCGTCTAAAATAACACTTCTTTCTAAAACCAAATTGGTAGATTTGCTAGGGTCAACCTCAATATTATATATTACATTTTCCAGTGCTGTGATCGTAGAATTATATTTATTTTGAAAATTAGCTTCATTCTGTTTATCTATAATATTTGTACTTGAAGAGAATATTACATCATTCCATTGAATTCTATTAAACTCTTATCCTCTTTAAATTTGATATAAGCGACTATTTAATATATTATATTTTTTACTTAGTTGAACCAAAGGTTTAGACTTTATATCTCGATATTGCATAATGTCTTTGTAATCTGCAAGAGACAAGTAACTAGCCCTGGAGCTAATATGTATTTTAAGCAGAGGTATGATCATATTGGTAACTAATCGCTAGAGGTTTTTTTTCACTATAAATAAAAAATGTACAAAAAAAAATATCAGTAATACTGGTATTATACTAGTATCAGTAATATAATAGTATTAGTAATATCGTTAATATTAGTAGTATATTAGTATCGGTAGTATCAGTACTATATATAGCAGTGATGGGTTTTGGACATGTCCAATTAGTTAATCAAATTGGACAATTTTGAACAATTTTGGACTTGTCCAAAATTATCCAAAATTGTCCAATAAATTTATGGGTTTTGGACAAATCCAAAATTAATTTAGAACTATTCAAAATTAAAAATTAATTTTATTTATAATTTTAAAATTAAAAAATTGATTATTGTTGATAATCTTTTTTTTTTATTCTCATTTTTTTTTGTTTTCTCATTTTATTTTTTTGGATTTACTTTTTTTATTTTATTTTCATTCTTTTAAATTTTTTTGAATTATAATTCGAAAAAACAAAGATCATCCTAGTCATAATCTTTCTTTATATGTAATCATTTTAAAAAAAGTTAGTCCAGAAAATAAAGACTGGCAATGTATATGTAAAACATGTAATAAGGTTTTAAAGAAAAAGCTAAACCTATAATTAATAGAAAAGAAAGAATTAAAAAATATTTATTAAATTGTGAATATTTTTGAAATAAATATGGAAAAGAGACAAATGAAATATTAAATAATTGTATTAGTGATGAAGAAACAGATGAATTATCTATAAATAAATGAATACATTTGAACGATAAATATTAAATTTTTTAGATTTATCTCTTAAAAGAAATATTAATTGATTACTATTTATTATTTATAGATGATACCATGTCTATTTCAAGTTTTTTGACAAATTCGACAAATTCTACAAGTTCTACAAATTTTACAAAACAATTTTTTGAATTTAATAAGAAGCAAAAATCACAATCATTGCTACCAAAATATGCTATACGAAATATAACCAAAACTGAAATTCCTACATTTCATGATCTTTTAATTAAAATGACAATATCTAATAGCTGGGCTTTTCAATGGATTAACAATCCTTCTACTTAAGCATTTTTTCATTGGTTAAATCTAAATTTAAAATTACCAGATAGAAAATAATTGGCAGGTCTTATATTAGATCAAGCTATTCAAAATATTGATAAAGTACGTCAAGATAAATTAAATCAAATACACGAACAAGCTGGTATTACACTTGCTTTTGATGGATGGAAGAATATTATAAATCAAGAAATACTTGGAATTATGATAATAATGCCTTCTGGTGAAACTTTAGTATGAAAAGCAATAGATATTAGTGATTATAGAGAACACGCAATTGATATTGTTTTACAAATAGAAAATATGTTACAAGAATTAAAGCAACAATCAATAAAAATAGCTGCAATTGTAAATGATAGTGCTGCAGCATATACTTCAGTATGATAAGTTTATTTTAATTTATAAATAAATAATAAAGAAATAAAAAGAAATAAAAAAGAAATTTAAAAATGTTTTAATAAAATAAATTTATGAAAAATGAAATTAAAATAATATAAAAAACTGATAATTTAATATTTAAATGTAATAAAAATTTAAAATTTTATTTTATTTTTTTTTTTTTTTATCTAGACGACAACTTCGGCTTAAATATCCTGAATATATATTCTTACCATATTTTGCCTATCAATGTAATTTAGCTATTGGGGAAATTTTTAAAAAATCTAATATTCTTGCAAAAGCATCTACTAATTCTGTGAAATTATATCTTTATTTTACAAATTCTCGACATACATATTTTATTGAAAAATTAAGAAATATTCAATTGAAACTTTATGGTAAATATTTTGCAATAACTAAACCTGGAGATACAAGATGGAATTCTTATTATGATTGTTATAAAAGTTTAACTCGGACTAAACAAGCATTAAGAGTAAGTAAAGTTAGTAACCATTCTTTAAGTGTAATAAAATTCTAATTACTTTTTAATAAAAATAGAATTTAGTTACACGATATGAACCTTCTGAAATTGAGGCTACTACTTCTCAAAGAAAACATGATGAATTATATCTTCCAATTAATATTTGTCAAATTATTATGGATGAATTATTTTGGTCTCAAATTTCAAAACTTGCAATATTAATGCAACCATATTGTGGAGCTCTTGATAAAATGCAATCAGATAAAGCTCGATTATTTGATGTTGCTTTATCTTTTGGATATTTTATCAAATTTTGGGAGCAGAATTCAAATCGTTTTTTAGCAGAAGGTATAATTACGCGTCTTGAAAATCGTTGGATGAAATGGAAGCAACCTATATTATTACTTTCTCTAGTGCTTCATCCTAAATATCGACTTGATAAATTTAATCCTGATTTAGAAACTATCAATTTTGTAACAATAGGAATTTGGCTTGATTATTATTATAAGGCATGGACATTTAATAAGCCAACAAAATTACTTTCTGAATTTGAATCTTACAGAGTAAAAAGACCACCTTTTAATGATGATACTTATGAACAATTTGGCGAGGATGTTTTAGCTTACTGGTATTATTGTTCTACAATGTGTAAAGAACTAGGACTTATTGCAACAAAAATTTTTAGCATCTGTGTAAACTCAGCTTCTGTCGAACGATTATTTTCATCAATGGGTTTTCTACATACGCCTCGAAGAAATAAATTAAAAGTATTGTATTTTTTATATTTAATACATATAATAATATATTTATTATATTTATTAATTAATTTTATTTTATTCTAGTATGAAAAGGTTGTAATTATGGCTCAACTTCGTGCTAGTATCAATCAAGCAGAAAATGAAAAAAAATGAAAATGCGATTTTCAAAAATTGCAAGCTGATATTGCACCAATCATAGAATTAGATAATCAAGAAGCCGTTAATATAGAATCACAAATTAAAATTCAAGAGGAACTTGAAGATCAAAATACAGCTAGATATATAACTACTGAGCAAGATTGGGAGGAAAAATTAAAGGAGTGGTATGAATTGTTAGATGAAGAAGAAAAAGTACAATTTACCGATGAATTAATGGATAATAATGAACCTAATAATAATTTATTAAGTTCATATATTCATCCTGCTATTAATGAAAGTGCGAAGTGGAATTTGCGTGACCTCTTTATAAGAGAATTAAAAAAGCCAGATTTTATATCTACCTCGCCTGAATTTAATTAGGCTTTATTTTTTACTATTTGTTATACATAACATGCTTTAATAAAAATTATTAGCTAAATATA